GTGGGGCTGGAGGTTTTTTGGCTAAAGCCGTGCTCCGGTCGGCCCGTCCGGTGGGAGCGGGGCCGGAGCAGTGGCAGAGCTTTGTCACGGCTCTTGGCCCCGGGCGGGGGGGCACAGAGCAGCGCTCGGCCCGCCGGGCGCCGGCTCCGACCCGTTCGTTTGGTGCCGCGCTCAGACCGGTGTCCGGCTGCAGTGGAACGGTGTTTCATATCCACAACCCATGGACGTGCCGGAAGGGCTTTAAATTAACAAAATTCCAACAGCTAAAGAGCAGGCACCTGGGTAACGCAACACTAACTGAAAACATGTCGCTTCAAAGTACCTTCCGTTAGGTATTTGGGATATTTAACTTACAACCTACTGAAACTATGTAAGGATGGGGTTGGCTTTTTTTTTTTTTTTTTTCCTACTTTCTTACATTAGGTGTTGCTTTTCATCAGCCAGTTTCAAGCAACCAATCTATTCTGACAGGTTGCGTAGATGTTAACCCCAGAGTGGATCTAGCAGGGAAGGGCAAGCAGGAGTTGGCGTTGGTAAGGTGTAGGTGTGCGCACGCAGACACCCTGCGTTTTGGGAGCAGCTGCCCAGTTGCCGTGCACGGCCTGGCCACCCGCTCCGTGTGCCTGCACACCTCCAGGCTGTTCCTGACGCCCGTGGTGGTTGACTTGGCAGGTTGAGCGTTCAGCGACCGAGCGTTGTGTCCAAACCGCCAGATGTGTTTAAATGCAACACCCCTAACGCAAATAAAACCGTTGCTAGAAGTTAAGTCCTTCAAAAGCTTCTGTCCAGGTCACTTAGGAAAGCTGCAGCGGGAAGAGAATAGTCGCAGGCATCTCGTGAATGAGATGCAAAGTGAAGTGTACCAATTAAAAGCGTGCTAAAAGGTAGAAACAAAAGGATAGGATTATCTTTTGTTTCGTTTATTTTGGCGACAGAAAAAAGGAAATGCGTTTGGAGCAAAATACTAGGACAAATAGAATGGAAATAGGAAGGAAAACGTGTCATCAAATAAACTAAGCTTTCTACTCGCCTGGAACGCTGTGTGTAGCTCTAGTCGCCTGCTGTCAGGGCCCTGCGGTATTTGAGGGATCTTGAAGAAGGCAGAGCAGGATTTGGGGGACTCTGGAAAAAATACAGTGAAAGGATTATTTTTTTAATTATGTATGACATAGATAAATAAACAATGATCAAAGTATAAAAAACTCACAAATGGTTTGCAAAAATATATTGGGAGTGTCTTCTTGTCACGTAAGAAAGCAGTGTCATAACAGTGAAAATAGCGAGTTTGCTGAAACAAAATAGTCACAGAATCGTTCAGGTTGGAAAAGACCCTTAACATCACAGAGTCCAACCATTAATGCTAAACTGTCCCTGAGCATGACATCTACATGTCTTTAAAATACTTCCAGGGATGGTGACTCAACCCCTCCCCTGGGCAGCCCGTTCCAGTGTTTGACCCCCCTTTTGGTGATAACCCAGTTGACACAGAATATATAATTAGGTGAACATTATTTCGTATTATGCAGGTCAACAGCTCTGAGGTGAAGGAAAAACTAGAGATTTGTATAGGCAAAAATAGAGATTTATAATGCAAAAAAAAAAGAAGTATGGAAAGGGATATAGGATTTCAATCTTGAGTTTAGCCTTGGTCTTAATTTTTAAAACTTAGGATAAGATTTTAATTTTGTTTATCCTGTATGTGCCTTCTGCAGGATGTATTGCATCTTCCTCCAAAGCATCTAGTGCTGACCACTTCTGGAAACAGGAGATGGGACTAGCTGGGCTATGCTATCATTTGTTGGCTGTCATCACGGCTCTCACTTCTATCATCTGGTGGTTCTTTGGGAGCCTGTGCAAAGTAAGCTGGTGTCCAGTTTCAGAGACAGAAAGGACGGTGCAGCTCGGTTGTTTTCACAACTGACACTGCTTCTGTGTCTGCTGTTACGGAGCGACATGTTGGAAGTCGTCGTGATATGAACTTGTAGCTTCAGTCAGAGTGCCCCTACCCAATTTAAGCTATTGGAATTTTCCTTTTCTAAGGCAAAGATGGGGGAGCAGACATGGTAGTAAAGCTTTCCTCCCTCCTGTGGAAACAGTCTCAGCAAACTAGGATAGTAGACAATACATGTACTTTATTTCTATTTCTTACGTAAAAAATATACCTTATAATATCTAGTTATAGTATACACTTCTAAGTATTTACTTATATATACTTATATCTACTTCTATCAGCTAAGGTTAGGGGACAGTAAGTTTTTTCTGAAAAGTATGTATTGTGGTACCAAATTCACATTTTTTTTAATGACTACATGAAAGCATCCCCAGTCCCTGCTTTGGAGAGCTGGTCACTCTGCGTGCACAGCAAAGCACGGAACGTAGTGCGAGGTACTTCACTCTCTCGTGGCGGAGGAGCTGAGCTCACAGCTGGCTGCAGTGTGTAATGCCGCAGTGACCTGGACGGCCCTACTGAAGTCTATCCAAGTCTGCGTTTGGCATGGAGGTTTAGTGTTGTTTCACTTTGATTGCTCATTCGTACTTGTTTTCGGTAATTGTTCTCAAGATTTGGTTGTAATAGCATTTTACAGGTTTTATTATTTCCCCCCCGAAGATCTTCAGCCTTGACCTCGGAGGTATATCGGCTATTGTACTGAATGGCTATGATGCGGTAAAAGAATGCCTTCTTCACCAAAGCGAAACCTTTGCAGACAGACCGTCTCTTCCCTTGTTTAAGAAGCTGACAAACATGGGAGGTAAGCGCTAATGCCTTTTATGTAGAAATGTCATTTTCATGCAATAGATGGGTTTGTGATCACAACGAAACATTTGCTTTAGCCGTTTACCTCTTTATCTCCTTTCATAAAATCCTTGATGCTGCTTTAAAGATGTTATTTGGAAAGGATTGTCACTCTGGGACTATGTTCCAGAGCAAGATGTGTGTAATTTTTTTGTCTTGTTTTCTGTCTTGTTAAATAATTTTATTATCTTACAGGGGGAAAATAAAGCACTGCATAAAAAAACTGTGTCAAAATATTTTTTCAGGCTTACTGAACAGTAAATATGGCAGAGGATGGACAGAACATCGCAAATTAGCTGTAAATACCTTTCGAATTTTTGGATATGGTCAAAGGTCCTTTGAACACAAAATTTCAGAAGAAGCTATGTTTTTTCTCGATGCTATTGATACATACAAAGGCAGACCATTTGATCTTAAGCACTTGATAACAAATGCTGTTTCAAACATTACTAATCTGATTCTTTTTGGAGAACGTTTTACTTACGAAGATACTGAATTTCAGCACATGATTGAGATTTTTAGTGAAAATATTGAATTAGCTGCTAGTGCTTCTGTATTTTTATATAATGCTTTTCCTTGGATTGGTATCTTGCCATTTGGGAAACACCAGCAGCTGTTTAAAAATGCAGCTGAAGTCTATGACTTTCTTCATGAGCTTATTGAACGTGTCTCTGAAAACAGGAAGCCTCAGTCCCCTCGACATTTTGTAGATGCATATTTAGATGAGATGGATTGCAATGAAAATGATCCAGAATCTACATATTCAAGAGAAAACCTAATTTTCTCTGTTGGAGAACTCATCATAGCTGGGACAGAAACCACAACAAATGTTTTAAGATGGGCAGTGTTATTTATGGCTCTTTATCCAAACATTCAAGGTAAGAATTTTGACGTTTGGAGGAACTGGTAAGCTTTCCCATTGCAAATTTAAAATGCTTTTTCAAAGTGGTGCAGTGATCTATCTTCATCACCAAAAAGGAAGCTTTACATTCATTATTCTATTATATCATTTACCAATTATACTGTTGACAAATGTAAAAAGCTTGTTTTATATGGATTAAGAGGATATCAAAAGTCAAGTACGATGATAAAATTTTAGCATACTATTTTGTGAATACGTGTTTATGACGCTTTAAATAAAGTGCTGTGATGCATAATATTGGTTGGCAGATGTACAAATCTATATAGTTAATAATAAGCAAATGCAATAAAATATGAAATGAATAAACTAAAAATAGTAAAAAATCAGCAAAAATGTAAATCAGGTCATGGTTAACAGTTTAGGTACAATTTCTTTTTATCCTTACGTGCCTCAATTCACAATAGATTTATGTATTATAGATGTGTATTTATACTTCTGGAATAATAAAAATAGTATTTTAAAATAAAAATGTGTTAGAGTCATTCTGAAGTGAGAGAGCAATAGGTGTTTGAATGTCAGCCCAAACATTTTGCATAGAAGTTTGGATTTTAGAAGTGAACAGTCACAATTCTTGTTCCACTGCCTCCACTTTGCTATCAAAACCTTAGCAGTGCTTAGTTCCACTAGGGACTTAGAGTATTTGGAGAAAGCAGCCTAGGTAACTTGGGAAGTTAGTATTGATACTTTAACCAAAGAGCATTGCTCTAACATCAATTTCACCTTCATCATAACATTGAGTCTAAATTTAAAATCTATGATAATTTATATAGGCTATTTCATGTTTCAGTAGCCTTTTAAAATTAAGTTTTATAGCTTAAATTAAAAAATAAAAGATATTACACAATAAACAGCAGCTTTTTTTCTTCTTCCTAACAGGGCAAGTTCAAAAAGAAATCGATTTAGTCATCGGCCCAAACAGAATGCCTGCCTTAGAAGAGAAATTCAAAATGCCATACACTGAGGCTGTTCTGCATGAAGTTCTGCGATTCTGTAACGTAGCTCCACTAGGTATTTTTCACGCAACTTCCAAAGATACTGTTGTGCGTGGTTACTCTATTCCAGAAGGCACTACAGTCATTACAAACCTCTACTCTGTTCATTTTGATGAAAAATACTGGAGCAACCCAGAAGTGTTTTTCCCTGAGAGATTTCTGGACAGCAGTGGGCAGTTTGTCAAGAAAGATGCATTTATTCCTTTTTCACTAGGTAAAAGTGATTCTTTCCACTGTTCCTTTTCATAAATCTAGAAATGTATTACATATAAGTGATGGCAATAAATCAGGAATGGACCGAATGATCTAAAATATCCACAGTTCTGATGAAACAGCAATTCTAAAGATATTCTGTATAATGCACTCTGGACATAACACACTGTAGCATAATCTCTTTTATATAAATGAGCTCATCATTGTATAAACTCACAGAAAAGACAGCACAATCTTATCTGAAGAGTCTCTACATTCTGTACCATTGCAGTACGTGTTATTCATTTCACAATTAATGCACATGGTCATTTGCTGTTAAAGTCGTTACACACTGGTAATTTACAAAACCAGCTTTCAAATTTCAGCACTGAGATCAGCACCAGAAATTGAAGATTTTATTCAGAACTAGCTTGGGGGTCAGCATGTCGCACTGCATTCTGTCCTGAGGAAATATTCTGGCAGTCCTAAATCATTATCAGTTTGCCTTTTGTTGCCTGTAAGAGGGGATAATTTACTTTACATATGATTATCAACCTAAAAATTAGGTGTTTCGTGTAAGCTAACTTCCAGGGCTACCTCTGCAGTCCATAGAAAGACATTGCCTTGTGCAGAGGGTGACTTAGTTTACGTACCTGGGATACTATTTCTCAAAAAAAGAGGAGCCAAGACAAGGCCATTCCCATGGAATAGATGCACAACTTCTACGTGGCCAAAGTTAGATTTGATGAAGTCCGTCTTTATCGTGTCTTCTATTACGTTTCTTGTTGCCTGTTTGACCTTAGTGGTTCCAGATGTTGTTATCCGTTCATCTGTGTCTTCCACAACCACATTTACTCCCTGTAACTAGTCATACACGGAATGGGAACTAATACTTAAAGGCATTATCCAGACCATATCTTTCTACTTACCAAGTTATAGTAATTATAGTAATTGACTGGAGGTAGATGTAATTAAGAAAACAATAGAGGACAAAGGCTGAAATTCACAGGATCTTTCTTTTTTTAAACATCATCTGCCTAGATTGGCACTTCACGACAATATAAAGTGGCTAATAGCCTATCTAAATAAATTTGACAGAATTAGTTACAATGCCCTTTGTATAGTGAGAAGAACGAATTCTCTAAAATCTGTTTCTTGCCATAAATTATCACCTATCCTCTCTTACAGAATACTGCCACCAAGTTTATCCATCTAAGTTTCCTAGAACACAGAAATGAACATTCTTATTCATAATTAGGTGGAAATGTAATTTAACACATTTTAAGTCTTTTCAAAACCTCTTTTTAATCCAGGAAGAAGACACTGTCTTGGAGAACAACTAGCTCGAATGGAACTGTTTTTGTTTTTCACTTCCTTACTACAACGATTTCACCTGTGTTTTCCTCATGGTGTGATTCCAGAGCTCAAACCAAGATTAGGCATGACATTACAACCACAGCCATACCTCATCTGTGCGGAAAGACGGTGAAGAGAAGTGTCTGGATTGTCATGGGGAGCACAGTGCACCACGTTGCAGCTGAGGATCCACTTTGCCTTCTATTTCTAAGTGTATTCTTGTCAGAAGAACAAAAATTTAAAGGACTTGCAGACAAGTTCTGACTATTTGTGCACAAGTTAATGGTTTCTTTTAACTTTGCTTTCACAAAACCCCCGTGTTCAAAGTTGATGTTTTCACTCCCGAAGTCTGTTTTGAATCTAAATTCTGATTCGGCTTTGAAGTATTTAATTACTTAGCAAGCCATTTTACTTTGAGAGGGTGTTTTTATAAGCATGGCCAGTATGGCTCAAAATGTTTATACTTGGATTCATACACGGAAATCCCATTTACTTTATTCCAGCTAAGCTGTTCTTTGTAATTCTCCATTAAATTTACATAGCTCAAAAGGTTTTAAAGGTATCTATTTAAATTTCTGTAACTCAGAATGAACTATCTTTTCCAGCCTTGACAAACAACTTATCTATTAAAGCATTTTAATCCTTCCTTCCCCTTGCCCTACCTTCCCATTTGGTGATAATTTTAATCAGATAACTGTATAAATTCGCTTTTAAGCTCTTCTGCGGCTTGCTTCTCATCGAGTAACATAAAGCGTTCAATTCTTGCCATACTTCTGACAATTAGACCAATCGTTTTTGCCAGTTCATTGCATTTCCAGACATGTGTCCTCCGTTGCCTCCCAACCCAAAGCATTATGTAATGACTAATTTTTGCCCAGGTAGTCTGGAAAAAACAGTCTTTTTGTTACCAGAGACACATGCAACTGTACACGGATCAAGAAAATGAGCTGCTCATGATCTGACCAGAGACCTTTTTCTTTTTTTTTTGGAGGGGGGATGGAATAGGGTGAGGAGAAAAAGATTTTTAATGGATTTTAAGCAAAAGTTTTAGGCATAACATCTACTCTTGACTTCTGCCAACTTTATTTTTACTCTTGGCAGCTATTGCTTTATGGTTGTTGGTAGATAAAACATTTCTGCTTGCAGGCTTTACAGAACCTGACACTAAATAGGTTCAGTCCCCACCATGTGGGGCCTCAGGGCAGGGTTCAGAACAAAACACACACTGAGCAAACAGCTAAAGGACAGGATTGAATATTAGACCTGGTTCTTTATATATCTTATGCTTTGACTTGGAGCTGCAGGGAAATTCAAAGGCCAGAATTGGTGGTTTTGTGCTGACCTGATGTTTTCAGCTTATGCTGAACAGAAATGCTTCCTTTCTTTTCAAACAGCAAAAGAGAAGGATCAAACAGAGCTAATTCCAGTCCATTTATATAATAGCCTATTGACTTAGGATGCAGCAAGTCCAAATTAAATTACTCTGAGGGTAGGCAGGCCCACATGTCCCACAGAGAGCATCTCAAACACACGTTCCTGGTGCACTGAAGAGGGAAGGCAGGCTACTTCTCTTCCTGAGTAACTGCCTTTCTGTAGAGAAGATTGCAGATTGAAAAAGGAGAGGAAGGAGATAAGCCCGATTGCTGAGCATTGGGAACACCATGAAAGCTGCAAATAAACCACTTCCAAGATATTGGCAAACAGTGGGGCTAAGGAGTCAAGACTGCGACTTTTGGATACCTGCGTAAGCAGATGTTGGGTGCTTGTGAAATGCTTAAGTAAAAATCGTGGAATCTACTGAATTAAGGTGCCTTCAGTATGAAGCAATACCGAAGAGTTCAGTGCTGGACTCCTGGGAATTCTTCCTATATCCCACCCTCTGCTCTTAGGTCAGCCAGAGTTGTGTTAGTATCTAGGCGTGCCTTCCAGGTTGGAAAATCTAGGGCATCCTTTGGTTAAAACATGATCCAAATAATTCTAATTGAAGTGGGGAGAGGATTAAAAAAACCCAAACCAAACCAACAACAACAACAAAAAAACAAACCCCAAACCCACACAAAACCAAACCAAAACAAACAAAAAACCCCCCCCCCAAAAAACCCCCCAAACATCGTTTCTTGCGGGGGCTACATTCAAAATCTCAAAATGCAGCTAGCCGGTGCTAATTCCCCTTTGCTGATGTATTTCGAGATGTAACTCCTGGCTAGTCTTTAATCCATTTAACAAGAACCATATTGATTATGTGTCATTCTGGTTTCTAAATCAAAATGCCTTACAAAAGCCTCAGAATATCAAGCCAAACTTTTACCATTATCTGCCAACTTGTGGTCTCATTTAAGCTATGAAATACATTTGACAAACAGTCTTTTCTTTAAATCTGTATCTGTATTAGTGATGTTTACATGTTTCATTTCATATCAACTTTTTCATTATTTACCCTCAGACTTTGAATTTATCCTAATGATCCAATTTAACAATTTGAAATACTGATATTAGGTTTTTTCCAGTCCTGGAATTTCTCCATTGTGTCAGGTTTGATTAGGAATGAACATCAGTAGCCAGCCAGATGTTCAGAATTTCCCAGCGAGGGTTTTCTACAGCTGAAATACCTAGTGTAGCTGGCTGCTGTTTAACGTTGCTTTGGGATTAAAGGTTGATATATTAACCAGTATATCTTTTTCTGCTGGTAGAACTTAAGGATGAAAAAAGACATTAAGTAATGTGTCAAGGTAAGGTTGTTCCCATTGCCAAAGTTTTTCCTATCTGGCTTTAAACGTCCTAGTAACTTGGGTTAAAACAGCATGTCCAGATACTGATGGAAAGATTTCCTGACACTGAAGTTGTGATGTCTTTGTTTCTGTATATTAATGCCATTTATTGCACACTTGGTTTCACCATTTTCCTAAGTTTTACTCCCTCCAGTATGTATAGTCTTCTCATTTTTGTCTCTGAAGTATGATGACAGTTTAGAACTAGAAGCACTGTTTCCACAGACAGGTGTATCACAACCACAAGAAGCAGCTTTCATGTACCTTCTCTAACTCCACTGCTGTTCCCTAAGGCGGTGTAGGACTTCTAAGCCCTATGTTGTGGCTTAACCCCAGCCAGCAACTGAGCACCACAACACTGCTCGCTCATTCCCCCATGGCGGCATGGGGGGAGAGAATCAGAAAAGGGAGAAAACTTGTGGGTTGAGGTAAAGACAGGTTAATAGGTAAAGCAAAAGCCAGGTGTGCAAGCACAGCACAACAAGGAATTCATTCACCACTTCCCATGGGCAGGCAGGTGTTCAGTCATCTCCAAGGAAGCAGGGCTCCATCATGTGTAATGGTGACTTGGGAAAGTAAATGCCATGACTCTGAACACCCCCTCCTTCCTTCACCTTCCCCCAGCTTTATATCCTGAGCGTGACATCACATGGTATGGAATATCCCTTTGGTCAGTCGGGGTCAGCTGTCCAGGCTGTGTCCCCTCCCAGCTTCTTGTTCTGCCCAGCCTACTTGCTGGGGGGTGTGTGTGTGTGTGTGCAAAGCAGAAAAGATCCTGACTCTGTGTAAGCACTGCTCAGCAGTAACTAAAACATCCCTGTGTCATCAACACTGTTTTTGGCATAAATCCAGAACACAGCCCCACAGTAGCTACTATGAAGAAAATTCATAGTAGGTCTGCAGAGCCAACCACAGTGTAATACCAGTAGGAAGATTAAAAGCTGCTCTATGTTTTTCCTACATCTATTTTCTCCATCTTGGCTCTGGTTCTGTATACCTGCCTTAAACCAGAAACTCCAGAAGTGGTTCTGTGCCTGTGCTCTTTCATACCATTTCTGTACCATGAGAATGGGTGCTTTCTGCCCTGTTTGTCAGACAGTCATTTCCTCTATCTACTCCTGCACTTAAGTTCAGACGGAGGGCAACCCATCTTGCTATCTACCAGGAGATTGCCGCCTTAACACTGATACAAGAGTTGCAGTCAGTACCACCACAATATCTTAAATCCTCCTTTCTAAATCCCTATTCTTGCCCTTAAGTATTTGGGTTAACCTTGGCCATGCCAACACCCACAGAAACTGGAAAGGGAACACTACGAACATGTCATATATGACACTTAATGCCAAAGAAAATCTTACTCTTTAGCACTTACTTTCCTGACCTTCCACCAGTTTCTGTGATACTGGTGAATATAAGCTTAGTGTGAACCTAATAAATGCACGAAGGTTCATTAATTTATGCCTTCAGAAATTAACTATACGAAGTGAGATTTCATAAAAGTTCAGGAAATATTACTGCTTCTCTGAAAGTAAATAGTTTGAATGTAAAGTGATATATTCTCTATATATCCAGTGCATATCCACACTGTGTATATCCACAGTGTATCCAGAATACACTGTGAGAGAAAGACCTAGATAATCATAATGCTATTTAGTTAGTTTGCCAGTACGTAATAGAAACGGTTCAGCTAACTTGGACTACATGCCAGGACATGGCTACATCTTTTTTCAGTGAACAATCTCTCATGTCTTAGATCTCGATTTCTCTTAATAAGAGAATGCTAAAACAGAAACAGGGGAAAAGGAGAACATTATAGCTGGTGGGTTTTAACATAGCTTGTATTTTAATGTTATGCATACACTGTCAATCATGCAGTGTTTTAACTGGAAATTAACAACTGTCCAGAGAATTGGTAGTATCATCTAGAAAGAGAGAGAAAGTGAAATAAAGAAAAAAAATTATAAATAGGGAAGAATATATTGAAAGCAAAAATACAACATGTTCTAATTTTTGCAGATCATTATAAAGATCATTTTACAGATCATTATAAAGCAAATGTGGTTCATCTGGAAAAATAATTAGTTCTTTTCTTGACATTTCTGGATTGGACTGGAAGAATTTTTCAAACTAGAGTACCAGAAATCACTGAATCTGTAGCATCCAAAGTGCTGTTTCAGACTGGAATTTACAAAGAGCCTCCTCCTTTCATCCTTACACTAAGTGTATTGTAGAATTGTGGAAATTTTTAATTCTGTACAGAGTATCACTGCAGAAAACATGAACTGAACCTGCAAGGCAAACTGCTTTTTTATTGGGCAGAACCAATAGTTTCTTCTGCTATGGGGATATGCCACTGTATTACGGG